AGAGGAAGTCACACGTCGCCTCACTGCAGCACAAGCTATTCTCACATCATCTTTTGGATCGCACAAGCCACATGAGGACTGCCAGAGAAGGTATGTGGAGCTGGTCTCTTACACTGACTTTCTCTTCCACAACTTTTCTTTCTTTTCCTAAAACCATCCGAAGTTGTGTAGATGCTGCTTTAGATCCAAAATACTCATCTGTTTTCAACAGCTGTTGATACAAAAGCTGATTTTTAGTTCCAAGAATGTAATCTGCTTTAAGGACAAATGGTGGTGTTAATTTAGAAATATGTTGTAAAAGTTTGATTTTTTTTTTCACTTACTTCTTGATCTCCTTTCATCTTGTCTTTGTTCGAGTTCGAGATCACCTTACTGTTAATCACACCATGTGCAGCGTTCATCTATAAACCTACCGTCAAATACGACGAAACTGAACGGTACGAATTGTGAATTTGTACTGAATTCATTTTTCTCTGTGTTTTGCTTTTCAGATTTAACAGACTTGAACTGACTCAAAAAGCAATGGCTGACAACTTCACCACTCTGCTGTTCCTTCTGAGCAGTAAGTGTCGTTTTTTTCCTTTTTTTTTTTTTGTTTTGCTTTGCACTTTGCAACTCTTCACATTTAGGTGGTCTGAAACAGGAAATGTAGCCACCAACACTCAGTTGGGTGGAAATTTCACAGAAGCACTAAAATATCACCAGTGATATAATTCATTTCTGATTTCTTTGTGTTAGGTCTGACTGTGGCCCTAGCAGGTATGTACATCACATAGAAGATGAACACTGACCTGAAATCTGATTCATTTTTGTACTTTCACAACCTACAAGAGAAAAAAAAACAAAAAAAACAATGCACAGCTGCAGAACCAAAAACCTGCAAACTTGATCGATCATATTTTCCACTGTTGTGTTTCATATTGGGCCAGCTGTCTAGCAACCTACTCCTTCTTCTGTCACCTTTTCTGTTTGTCTCCGCTCGCCAGACAGCAACGTGTCTTGCTACAGAATTGAGCCAGGTACAATAGCAGGCATCATCGCTGCAGATTTGTTGCTGACTCTTATTATTGTGGTCGTCACATACCGATGTGCCAGTTTCCGTCGTCAGCAAATAGATAACGGTAAGGCTTGGAGAGGAAGTTATGCTTAGATATTTTTTTTTTTCCAGATCTAATACTGGAAATGGTGTCTTTAGAATATGATTGAACTACATTTGAACCCAGTGGTTCAGGTATACACTGAAGAAAAAGACATACAAACAGTTTTTACTCTCTGAAGTTAAATCAGGCCAAACTACTCTTGTTTTAAGACAGTTACAATTAACAAAATTATTTCTGTTTGCTAAATGCCACAATAGTAAAAGAAATAACAATAGCTACAATCAGATTTGGATATTTGCACACTCCTACGATCTACAGACAAATTTATACAGGGTTAAGATCAGAGCCACAAACAAAACATGGAGTTTGTTGTCCTTAAGTCACTTTGTAACCACTTTGGATGTAAGTTCACATAATGTGCACTTGTTCCTCCTGCAGCAAACAGCTCCCGACAGGAGGTTGTCACCACTATTCCTCACAGTTGAGATGGTGTTTCTAGGACCTTTTTCTCCAAAAGAAATGATGGCCATCCTGCCCAGTCTCACTTCCAAAGACATGACACCGTCTTAGCTTTCCCCCATCGTAGAGATAGTAATCATTCTGCATGTATACTTCTGGCTAAATAGAATTAACTTTGGTCATTCTGACCTAAAGCAAGAGGTGTTTGGCCTGATTTAACTTCAGAAAGTGAAAAAAAAAAAATGTGAGTGTGTCTTTTTATTTGGTATATGTAAATCTCTGGTTTCAACTGCATATATATGGCTCCTTTAGTTATGTATTTCATGCCCTGTTTTAATTTTGTGTGTTGTTTCTCTCTTCTCTCCTCTCTTCACAGCTGACAAGGTTTATATGAATGTTCGGGCCAACTTGAAGAACATAAAATAAAAATGTTTTATTAATCATTATCCTAAAGAGGTGGCTCTCTTTACAATTTTTTCTCAGGCAGGTATTTTTACAGCATCATCCATAATTATTGATATTCCTGGTAAATATGTGCGGAAAAAGCCGTGAAACAAGATCATAATTTGCTATCGGCATAACCCTGCTGCTGTTTTTTTAACAGCGAGGTTAAAAAATACTTTTTTATCACCTCCCTCACTTCCTCTTCCTCCATGTGTGAGTTGGCAAGTAAAGCTCATCAAGCCTCGTTTGTTACAGTCTAGTTGTTAAAAAATGTTTAGAATTGCTCTGACAGCAGCTATTTTCCTGAATCCATTTCTTAACTAATTACTCTGGCTTATTTGGGTGGCATTTTCTATTGTCTGTCCAATTTTGAAGAGTAGATAAGAGAAATTGCTGTCAGTGTCACATCATTTCAGTACCACAAGAAACCAGCCAGTAAATATTCTATGATCAAGCTTTAAAAAAGGGGGGCAGTGTAAATGTGACACCAGTAATTTGCAAAAAATACTTGGTGTCACAATCGTATGTTTTAATGTTTTTTAATGATTGTGTTTTTTGTATTCTTGACTGAGTGAATTTACTTGTAGCGATGATTGAAATTCTAAAAATTTCTAGTTGCTGCGGTAAATTATACTTTTGTTTTAATGGGGTATTTTTATTATTATTATTTAACCAAGGACCCTCACAATCATTGAGAACTCCATTTTAAAAGCTAGTCAAATTTTCATGATGTCTTATAGAATTTGCCAGATCTCTACTTTAATTACCTTTCAAATTAACTATATTTGATCATTTAGGTCCAGTGCTGTTTAAAGATAAAATAAATAGTACTCCTTTCAAATAAACAAAAAAATAAATATATATGTATATATTGTGGGTATCCCATCGAATTTAAAATATTGGTACTTTTTTGTGTTTGTTTGTTTGTTTTTTGAAACAAAAGCGGTACAAATAAAGTACTAAATGTGAACTGAAAAAATGTGGTTGAACGTTATCCACACACATTGGCTAGAACTACTTAACAGCGCCCTCTGCCGATTGCTTTTGGTAGAGATTAGATTGAAACAAAGGCTGGAAATGATTTAAGGAATTTTTAAACATGATTGTCTTTGAACCTTCTCTTTATTATGCACTATCAAACTATTATTTTATTAATGTATGCATCATCTAATATACTGTTTTAACTTTCATCTAAATAAATTTCTCATGCCTGTGTGCGTTAAATCTTTATTTTATTTGAATAAGTCAATGGGAAGTGTTTTTTATGACCAGTTATGAAATATTCCTTTCTCGGAGGACAAAAAAATCAAGTTAATTGGAGGGAAAATCAAAGAATTTAAATTAAGCCATATGTGTTTGTTTTATTTTTGGACTTCACAACTCATCCGTTTAATCGGGGTTATTTTTTGGTGTTTGTTTTCAAATACCTTTCCTTCAAAAAAAATGTAATTAATTCAGTCGTGTCTGTGTTTGCACAGGTCCATTGTAATGCTTTTTTTTTGCTTTCTATTCGCTTTCTATCTGGTACATCATTGTGGTTAAGAATGGCCTTTGAGAACTGTGAGCTGTTTCAGAGACCGGATGAGATATGAGCGAATGTCTTGCCGCTTTGTTGACCAAGTCCTGCAGTGAAACTGCTGCTTGTGTCATCCCAGAAAACATGCTGACCAAGATCAATTTTATATCTCTGTATTATCTGGCTGATCATTTTCTTCATTGTCTGCCCAGTTGCTTCATTCTTTAGTTCAATAAAATAAAATAAAAATGTATATGCCGGATACTCAGACCACATCACTCAGACTCTTTGTCTAACTTTGGAGAAAATCAACACAATATGTCATATTCACCAAGTCCAACTATTTGTTAATGGGTTTAGTTTATGCAGACCGCTTCTCTCTCTCTCTCTCTCTCTCTCTCTCTCTCTCTCTCTCTCTCTCTCTCTCTCTCTCTCTCTTTCTCGTCAGGGACAGGGACAGTAAAAAGGCGTTGAGCTTTAATTAAAAGATTGTGAAATGAACCTTATCTTGGACAAGTGAACTTCCAAGACTTTACATTTGTGTTCTTGGAAGTGGTAATACATTTACTCCAGAAGTACTTGACAGCAATTTCGAGCGTGGTTACCTTAATATCAATCCATAAACTGAAATATAAACCAAAGAGTTTATGGCCCATCCCATCGTCCACATTAACAGAGATAAAGTTATGGAAAGGCTTAAAGCACACTTAGGTCAAAAACGACATGCTTTTAACTACTCATGATGTAATTTATTTGCTTTTATTTACTGATTATCATGTGTTGGTCAGTCCCTCGTCTATAGAGGGGAGACATCTGCACTACCTAGCAAGAAATAACTTCATCTTGAATGATAAGCTGACCCAGGACAGCATTAATCTGACAAACAGTCAAGAGGCCAACAGTGCAGGGCTGCTCAGTTCAGGTTGGAGGTTCTCTCAGGAAAACCCCACGCTGTGAACTTCACAAATCGGGTCATCTCTGTGGTGAAACATGTGGTGTGGCAGAAATACTTTTCTTCAGCAAGACTGGGCAGAAAGACGAAAGCAATTTATTATTTGCAACAAAAAATATATCAAATAAAATATAAATAAAAACTTTGGAAACCATGTGCATTTCTTTGTACTTTATGACTATGTACTACTTTGTGTTGGGCTGCAGTTTGGTGTGGCAGTAGTTATGTACAGGCGCAGGTGTGTGAATCATTTGAGAAGGTTCAGTGTTTGATATTTCTGACCATTTATTTACGAGCCACAAACATGTCTTTCACAAAAAAAAAAAAAAAAAAAAAAAAACAGGGAACAAAACATTAACTTTCATTTTGCTGACAGGACAGCGTTGTTACAGATAAAGCTGCGGTCGAGGGCCTTCAGACCTTCAGACTCCAGCCGCTTGCGCTAAACCACACAGTCTCAGGAAACTCTCCATTTGAAGATACGATCGCTTGCATTTCAGCAGAAACTCTGGGTGTGAGGGTGACCTGATGCTACTGCTGGCTACCGCTGCGTCGTTTGCATCATTCCCATTAAAATTACAACATGAGACGCATCTTGGCTTGGAAGCAGGGGATGAAATTGACATTTTCTATTCCTGTGACCATAGGTGCTATAGATATGACACGAAAAAGAAAAAAGGCAAAACAGAAAGACCAACTTCCTCTTGTGTCAGTGGATTCCCACTGTGTGCTCCTCCTTCTTTTAACAGACTCTAGCACACTGCTGACAAATCTCCACCCTTGCACTAATATTGGTGGTGGAGCCTGAAATCCTTCAGACTCTCACCTCCAGCATCTTGTTTATGGACGCCACCAAGCAGCCTTTTGGCAAAGATCAAAACAACAGCTGGTCTTCGGCTTCTCATTTCCCCCTCGACTGAAAAGATGCCCGACGCTCTCTGTATCGTGGGCTCCATGTTCGGTGAGTCATATTCACGTTTCCCAACAACAACAACAGTCTAGACATATGCAGGCTCTGAAGCTTCACTGTCGTAATGTGTTACAGGGTCAGAGGAAGGACAGCAAGGTAGATCTCTTCAACCATTCGCTTTATGACATGACATTTTGCTTTTTTTAAGATATTTTTTTAAATGCCTCCTCACAGAATGTGGCACCTGCTACCTGATAAACATGGGCTCTGTGATTGGCATCGTTGCCTCTGACATTATCTTGACCGTCTTCCTCATCATCTCTGTGTTCTGCTTCGCAAGTCACCACAGGAGAAGGAGAGAGCCGGAGTCTCACGACGGTGACCTTGTGCATTTCTGTTATTTATTGATATTTGTGGTGAATTTTTCTTACCCATGCTAAATATTTTTCCCTTAACAGGTAGAAGAAATCTGCCCTTATCTGCCTCGAAGAAGATGACCCCAGAAGACACAGAATCTCCATACCAGGTAAAATAGTCAGCTTTGAAATGATAAAATACTTATTATTTTTTATAAAAGTATAAAAACTGATACATATAATAATTCTTACTATGTAAATGACTATATATTTTTATTTGACTTTTTTTATTATTATTTTAGATATTTATTTAAATATTTTAAAAATGTGTTTTACTGTGAATTGTGGATGGTCAACTTAAGCTTCTTTTACTTTTAAGGAATTACATGGAGTGCAGTCAGATATCTACAATGAACTTCAACACTTTAGGAAATGACATGTTGTGGAAAAAGTGTTCAAATTCGCAACTTCGTGTCTGCGACTTACTGTAAAAAATATATAAAAGAACTATGCCAAATAATCATTTGTATAAATCTTGCATTGCAACTCATAATTTAGCATAAACCTAAATAGTGTGGAGTACCTGAATGTTATTTCTGTAGTTAAGGTATGTTGTGCTCAGTGAGAATGTAGAGTGGAGCATGGCATTCAGTGCATGTTGTGTTTGTAAATTATTTTGTACTTAATGATCAATAAAACCCAACTTTGCGATCAATGTTTACCGTCAGACAAATTCTCGTCAGACTCAATAAAACTGCTTTCATTTTGTTTATTTGATTATATTTTTTCTTACATCAGCTTTCATTGCAAGCGGCCTATTATTGCTTTACAGCCAACATAAGATTGTCCTCACATGATCAGAATATTTTAAAAAATGGACACGGTGCTTCTATTTGGAGGCATAAAAAAATTCCCAGTGGCAGCTGTATTTTGCAGCATCCTGTCTGCTGTGAATGAGTCAATACATGGTGGCTCCTGACTCAGTCAGAGGAAGTAGCTCTAGACAAAATAAAAAAAAAAATAGGGAAAATAGGTGTATATTCACTTACAACAGATGAACTGCATGTACACACATGATACTAAAAGATGTCCATTATAAAAAGAAACTTGAGAAGGTCGAGAAAATGATGAGCTTCGTTTTAAAATGCAAAAGAAACAAACCTTGGTCCAGACTTGACTGTAGCAGACAATCTACTGGGATCTGTGAGATAAAGTAAAAATAAAAAATAAAACTCCTTTCTGAATGGCTTATACTTCAACAATCAGCTGCTGCATTTCTCACTTGACGAAGGAAAATGCGTTCTTACCAAAGGGATAGGTTTCAGAGCTGATGTATTCCCTGGTTTCTGTGGGGAAATTTAATTTTTAAACATCTTTGAGGTGTTCACCATTTTATTTTTTCTTCTGAAAACCTTTGAGAGCCTCACACATGACACGACAGCTGTTTTTACCTTTACTATTGTGCACCACAGCCAGTTTTCCATCGTTGACCTCTGTGCTTTCCCATGATGTCTCCATGCTTTTTTCTGCATCCAACCTCTCCCCCTGGATTTGGACACTTGTGCTTTGCATGGCTCTGCCAGACCTCACCGTTGTTCCCTCTTCACTGTCCGGATCAGTCTGTCCTCCGCTTCCCTGTTGCTTGCCTTGACCAAAGATCTGCTCCTGGCTCCTACCCTCAACATGCCTGCTGATCTTATCCAGCTGCTGCATCTTGCCTGTGCCTGTTTGTGTATTCCTCCTCGATGGCGCGTCTGCTCCAGCTTTGGGATCCACAACTTCGTAGCTGTCGTGGTCTTTAGATGTTTCTATAAGAAAATATAGTTCTTCATATGGCATCTGAATCAACATATAAAGTCCCTTGCAAAGTTAGTCATACCCTTTCAATGTTTTGTCATGTCACAACTACAAAAGCCATTGGTTTTTTATTGGAGTTTTAACAGGTATTCCAACACAAATAACTGTGAAAAGAGTAGGATTCACTAGAAAAAATGTACAAATAAAAATCTGAAAAGTTTGATTTGAGTTTTATTCCACCCCCTCACTTACACGTACACCCATAGTGTAAAATTTTGTGTAAAGAACATTTTACACTTCTTTCCCACAGCTGACAGGAACAGGTATTCCTGTCAGCTGTGGGCTCATTGAGATCATGATTAAGTTATAAAATAATACCACAAGCTTTAAATATCTCACAGAGCACTGCTAAATCCATCTTTCAGGGTTGGAAAGAGTGTGTCACAACAGCAAATCCACCAAAATACATGGCTGTCTTCCTCAGCATTAATCAGAAGCAGCCAAGAGGCCCAGGGTAACACTGCAGTGGCTGCAGAGATACACTGCACAAGTGGAAGTACTTTATCCCCTCCATAAAACATGGTGGTGGCTGGTCAGATTTGATCATAAGGTGAATGAAGCTGAAAACAAGGCAATCCTGAAAGAAAGCCTATTAGAGGCTGCAAAACATGTTACTTACAGCAGGAGGTAAAGCCTAGAAATACAGCCAGAACTACAGCCGAGCTCCGGCTGGAACGGCTAAGTCAAAGGTCAGATCGAGCATAGAATCCAATGATGCCCTCCATCTAATATGACTGATTTTAGGATTTTTTTTTAAAAGCAAAAAATGTTCGTCTCTGTAATGGCAAAGGTGGTAGAAACATAACTCACAAGACTTTCAGGTGTAATTGCAGCAAAAATTGGTTCCACAAAGTATTGACCCTGGTGGCGTGAATATTAATACACAGTCCACTTTTCAGATTTGTGTTTGTAAAACCAAATGTAAATCATCTATCTATTCCAATCTAATTCATGATTAAACAATCCTAAAATCAGAATTAAAAAAATATCACATTTGTATTTATAATACTACAAAATTATGACAAATGTTGTAAGGACTTTCGCAGGGCCACATAACTGTGGAGTTTTAGTGATTTAAAGAAATTTAAAACACAGATTCAAACTCAACCTTTGCTTTCACTTCCACTTTGATCAGGTCCTGAAACAGTAAGAGGAAATTTACTTTATTTTTGTGAAGGTAAGTATAATTTCTATAAATAAAGTTTGTATGACAAACACGTTTAATGTACCTGGATATCCAGGGGTGACAAAACTCTCCACTGATTGCATCTCAGACAAATCTGCAAATTAAATTTGGTTTCTATTAAAATTAAGATCAATTTTAAATTGTTAATAAATACGTTTGCACTCTACTAATATTCAACAAATTAAGCGTACTATTGGAGTCTTGGTGTCTTGGTGGTTTATCAGGGCTCTTCTTTGCTGTAAACATGAGAAAAAGGTAAAGATAAAAAAAAAAACCTTCAAAATGACCAGGTGTAGGTTTCTCTTCCCATTTCTTTCAGTGTTCCAATAGGGAACCAAAAGTAAGTTTACGGATCTGATGAGATGAGCAATGAAGACCTGGATTTTTTTTTTTTTTTTTTTTTCTTGTGATGCACCAACCTGTGACTTTGGCTGCTGTGGCTCTTTCAGTAGTTGCTCCAAATGCCTCTGTAAGAATAAGAAAAATGCACGGTCATTTAAAACATGCATTATTCCACAAATATCAGGAGTTAGAGGGAAAGAAATAGTGATAACAATCATCACCATTTAGAAAGATCAACACATGTCGTCTTTGAGCTTGGAGAGAAAAAGAAGGGGAAAAAAACTTGTAATTAGCTGTGCCTGGTTTAGTGGTTTCAAACACTTTTCACTACAAATTGGTTTTGAAAAAACAAATATTAGGTTCATGTTGTTTACCTTTTATTTGGCCTTGTACTCCCATGACTGCTAATGGCGCCAACAGCAGCAAACAAAACAGGAAGCTGAAAGAGAACAAAACATGCTTTCATTTTGTTTCTATGCATCCTAAGAATTAAAACGTATGTCAACTAAAGAAAAAAACGATCTACAAACATCTTACCACTTCATCTTTTTGCAGTTTCCCCAACTCTGTCTTCTGTCAGTTAAGAGTGCATGTAGGGCTTTTTATGCACTTCCACATCAAGGCTGTGCTAAAGTTAATTACACATTCTGACCAGATGGATCAGATTAAGTCTTATAGTCAAAGACTCCATCTGTGTGTTGAACACTGCGTCATTTCTGTGCCAGAAAGCAACAATTAGATTCTGGTAAGTTCACAAGGGCCTATTCATTCCCTTTCAACATGGAAACAACAGTTCGTAACACACAGATTCAGAGACGAGATGGGTCTTACCCTCTAGCATATGCTAATTACAGGTGACTGGTTACTTCAGAGAATGTCCTTTGACCTTTTCTTTGACCGAAGTCAGCTTTGAAATAAAGTACCAGACCAGAGTTTTTTTCCCCCATTGATGTTGACTGATAAAATGTGGCCTTGTTTTTATTTAACAAAAGGCCTTTAGGAGAGCAACAGTTTCAAAAATGTCATTCTGTGTCTGTGGGACAGGCTAATGATAACTAAATATTATCATTTGAAATCTATAGCTTTCTTCCCTAAAACTGAAGAAAAAAGCAAAGTAGACAGCATACATCTCATATATTAAAAAATAAACATAGCTTAAAAAGTACAAACTTATTTTCAATTAAAAAAAAACATTTTTGATAATAAAAAAATTGCTGAGACTGCAATGTGTAACTATAATATCTAGATAATTTCTTCATACAAAATACTGGCTCGAGGATTTGTGCATGTTTTGGTAAATCCATTATTTTTTTCATCAAAACTTGTAAAGAAAAACAAAAATTCAAGTTCTTGCTTTTTGTTTAATTTTACTCATAGAACGGCCATTTAAAATCCGAGCCCTGTAAAAGAAAAACAAACAACTGACTTATTTTCTCCATTCTGACTTACTGTACCCTCATAAAACAGTAGTAGTACATATTTAATAAGAAGAACCTGGATTTAAATCTTGGGCAGAGAGTGTGAAGCCTGCGAGCTCCCTTGCAAAGGATTCTCGTTGGGTATTTCAGCTGCCACAATCCAAAACATGTATGTTAGGTTCATTTGTTGACAACAGGTGTTAATGTTCTGAACACACAATTCCATAGAGATACATGGTGATGGCACCATCATGTTGTGAGGATGCTACACTGCCTGTTCTTTACACAGGGAAGCGCAGCTATTCAGGATATAAAAAGTAGTGCATTCCTGAAAGCAAAACATCTTGCAGGCTGCAAAAAAACAGAGACGGGCACAGATGTTCACCTTTCAACAAAACAACAGCCCTATTTATGAAGCCAGAACTACAATAGTATGGTTCATAACAAATAAAGCAAAGCTATTGTTCTGTTAGAATGACCCAATCAGTCAAGAGCTAAATTAGTCTAACATTGTATAGTCATAATTAGCTGTTTTTGTTTTCAGGGACTCACTTTTTAAAATAAATAAGATTTTCAGATTTCTATTTGTAAGAATAAAAGGTTTCAATTTTGTATCTATTCAATAAAATCTTAATAAAATATAATTAATACTATTGGACACATAATCAAGGCGTTCTGTGTGCTCCCACTTTACCCACATTGTAGTATTAAATGTAATAATCACGTTCTCCAACTTTAGTTGTAGAGGACATCGTGTTGACTGTGGATTGAACCACGACGTGTGATTAGGAAATAGCGCTTATGTCTCTCTTGATAAAACGTCACATTTCAGATTAAGTCCACTCCCAGACACGTGTAGATCAAAGTTTGCCTTTCAACCAGACAGACCTGTTGGTGGCAGAAGAAGCGAAAAATCTCTCCGTGGAAAACAGAAAAGAATGAGCGCCCTCTGCTGGAAATACCTT